TTTCAACCAGGAAAAAACTTTGCCTTCAATCTTCAATTGCTCCACAAATTTGTCTGCTTGTTCCAAAATTGCTTTGTTAGGTACGGCTCAAAAGGAGCAACCTAGCTTTTATTTTAAAATGAAAATTATGAACAGGTTGATAAGGCACAATTTGGATTATAGATTATAAACACAAGGTAATAAGACCAAATCCTAATAAATAAATAGTGTATGACGTTTCGGTAACAACGCTGTTACCGAAACGTCACACACTATTTTTTTGGATTTGGTCTTATTACCTTGTGTTTATATAAACAGGTTCTTCACAGAAAAAAAGTGTACAATGCGGGATTTGATTCCGGTTCATGGCTGTCAGAAAACAATGGTTTATACCATTGGTATAACCAACTATCCACAAATTTAGCTGAGAGACAAGTAGGTAAACAAAACCTTTATATACATAAAAAGAAGAGATAACAGCATTTTCCTAACCTAAAAAGACACAAGTCAAACATGGGATATGTATAAAGCTGCTAAACAACAGAAAGAATTAGAAAACAACAAAAGCCCCACATTAGAATAAAACACAATTTAGCTGAGAGAAAATGACTTTCCAGAATGGTTTCAAGGTTTTGCCACTATGTACTAAGTGCAATTCCCAACCTACAACCCTAAAACACATTATTGACTGTATTAACTCATCCATTGATGAGCTCTACTCTTCCCCAGCAGACACCATCAAAAGTCTCAAGCTTTACAAGCTTGATACCTTAGTGTGATTGAGTGGAGATAAGAAAGAAGAAGAAGAAGCTGAGAGACAAGTTGATAAACAAAACCTTTATATACATAAAAAGAAGAGATCTCAGCATTTTCCTAAACCTAAAAAGACACAAGTCAAACATGGGATATGTATAAAGCTATTACGCAACAGAAAGAATTAGAAAACAACAAAAGCCCTACATTAGAATAAAACATAAGAATGATGTCAGTAGGACTCGGGACTATAATTTGTTTAATAAGTCCATGTCATTAAGTAACACTACCGTCCATCCATCCCTGCTGGGTCATTCAATCTGAGAATAACCTCCTTGATGAATGGCCTCCAAACAATCCATTGTATGGGGCAGCCTTCACCCAACCTTCTTTTGTTGTGGACCCTCCAGAAATATTTCAATTTTAGGGGAAGAAATATTTATAGAACACCCACCTGCGAAGAAATGGCAGCATTGTTTGCATACCTTTAAAAATTTATATACATATACAGTAGAACCTCCCTTTAACGGGCACCTCTCCACAAAGGACAGTTTTCATTTGAAAAATTACCATTTTTACAATTTAGCAACTCTTCGGTAAGAAGACACCTCACCCTAAAGGAAACTTTGGCTCTGCAATTAGGTGTTGTCCTTTACAGGGAGGTAGTTCTACTGTATATATTATATAATCTAAAATGCAAATATTTTATTTTTTTTTAAACATTTTACTTTCATCATTGACTATTCTTTTATTTTTGACCATAGATTTAGAACATTACACTTTGAATATTTGTTTTAAATATGTATAGTTGACTACCTATTTTTTTAATTCACGAATATAGAATTCATTTTATAAATTCTATATTAATGTGAAAAATAATTTTAAGTGTAATTTGCTTCAAGTAATTGAAAATAAAAACTATTTGAAAGGTAAATAAATTATATTTCCTTTTTCACGACTGCACTTTCAATTCTTTATCATTCCAACATCAAAACATTATAATTCATAACATATATATATATATTCCTGTAAGTTGCATATACAGTATAGAAACCAATTAAACCCATTATAAACACAAGGTAATAAGACCAAATCCAAATAAAAAAAATTGTGTGTGACGTTTTGGTAACAGCGTTGTTACCGAAACGTCACACACTATTTATTTATTTGGATTTGGTCTTATTACCTTGTGTTTATAATCTATAATCCAAATTGTGCCTTATCAATTAAACCCATTATAATACTTAATACAATACCCATTAAAATACAGTAGAACTACCTCCCTGTAAAGGACACCTAATTGTAGAGCCGAAGTGTCCTTTAAAGAGAGATATCCTCTTACCAGAGTTCCTTAAGAGTAAAAATAGTAATTTTGAAAATTGAAACTGTCCTTTGTAGAGAGGTGTCCTCTAGTGTGAGTGTCCTCTCATAGAGGTTCTACTGTACTTAATTGAATGAATTTTCAAACTCCAAAAAAAAAAATCTATTTACACTCGTAAACAAAAGGAAGTTTCATATTTTGATATTGTCCATTATCTTTTTTTTTTTTAAAGAAATAGAGGAAATTTTGTTCACACTTGGTTATCTTAAGTCTTCAATAAAGGTCACTGTAATATCTTTCAGAGTTATTGTCTGAATCCCATGCTTGAAAGGTACAACTTCCTTAAGTTTTGTCCATGAATGTTTTGATAACATTGAAGACAGTTTTGATCACCAAAATTACCATTTAGCTGCTCTCCAGTAAGAAGAAATCTCTACTTAAGGGACACTTTAAGGTGTCATCCTCTTTGCAAAAGAGGCTTAACTGTACAAGGTAATAAGACCAAATCCAAATAAATAAATAGTGTGTGACGTTTCGGTAACAGCGTTGTTACCGAAACGTCACACACTATTTATATATTTGTATTTGGTCTTATTACCTTGTGTTTATAATCTATAATCCAAATTTGTGCCTTATCAGGCTTAACTGTTTAAAATAGTGGATGATAATAAATGATAATGGGGAGACAATTTGGGGATTATAGATTAGAAAAATAAGATGACAGACCAAATAAGTGAAAGTCTTGCAACAGTCATGAGTGGCGGGCGATTTGTGTTACCGCAGCCAATGTTCCATTCTTAACCTGACATCAATGAAGGACAGAACCACCTGACTGCCAACTCATGCTGTCAGGAAGTGTTCCGCAGATGTGTTTGAATCCTTCCTTCACTTGAATTAGAACAGTAGTCACCAAACCTGATAATGATTGTCATCTCCAAGTTCAGAACTAGTGCAGATGTCTGTAACTTGCGTGCCACATGGGGCTCTTTGAATGTATGAAGCTACGGCTCTTTAGTTCCATATACAAATATTTATTTAAGTAAATTTTATTCTTTTGTCTAATGATAGTAACAATGCTTTTACCGAAACCTCGCATACAGTACTATTAAATTATTTTGATTGGGTCTTATTTTCTTGTATTTATAGATCAAATTGTGCTTTATCATTTTATGCAAGTACAGTTAAACCTGTCTATAACACCCCCTCTTGGGACTCACTAAAAAAAAAATAGGATGCTATTATATAACACAGATACATATTTACATATGTCATATCATAAACTAGGTTGCTCTTGTTGAGCGGTACCTAATAAAGTGATTTTGGAACAAGAAGTTATCTTTCTTTCGTCTTTTGATTTAGAAATTACACTTGCATTTGAACCACAGACATGTCATTATGTAACCCAAAAAAAAATGTTGATAAGCTTTTAACTAGGCCTGCCAGGATTTGAGCCAGGAATCTTTTTTTTTTATCTGTAATATCAGAGGTGTTATCTGTTGCACAACAACTACGCTCTATTATGCTTATCTAAAATAATAAATTTTCAACTTTTATCTTTATGTACCTAATTGAGTGCTAAGCTTACAAGAGAGAGAGAATCACTAAATTAAGATAACAATTAGAAAAGAAGTATTTCAATAAAGTTGTTGTTGCTTATTCCTCAAGTCATTTAAACAATCTCCATTAAGTTCCATTGTCTCAGCTTTTATAGTCCTGGGGTTTTTCCAGAGGTCTTTTTTGGATGATTTGATACAATTCGATAGATGTTCAGGACTGGCTGGTTAGGAATCGCATTTGGGGAATTTCGGGAATGTGTTTTGATTTTTCAATTAAATTTGAGCATTCTAAGATGTCCTGTTTGTAATCTTGATATCGCTGTTTGTTCTTCCCTAGTAAGGGTGTGGAAAGAAGATTCGTTAAGAATGAGGGTGTACCAAAGATAGTTTAGGGTGAATTTCCAGAGAGATATTTTTTTTTGTTGTTTGTGGATGGAAGAAATTTAAGAATAGGCGAGTTGGGAGTTTTCAGGCTGGCCCTTACAGCCTTCTTTAGTCAACTGGTCAGCCATCTCGTTGCTGTCTATGTTAACGTGAGAGGGGATCCATTAGTCTACATTTCAATAAAGCAAAACCTCTCATGAGAGACTGACCATATTTTTATATAAATATATTTTTAAAAAGACTTAACCTACCATAATTCCAACCTTCAATGATAAGGCACAATTTGGATTATAGATTATAAACACAAGGTAATAAGACCAAATCCAAATAAATAGTGTGTGACATTTCGGTAACAGCTTTGTTACCATCTTCAGATTATACCATCATAGATTCAGTACTTTTGTCTGAAGATGGTAACAACGCTGAAACGTCACACACTATTTATTTATTTGGATTTGGTCTTATTACCTTGTGTTTCCAACCTCCAATAAAAGATAAGAAGTAGTATACTTATCTCCACTCAATCATACCTTGAAGTTCAAAGAGATAGTTAGACCAAGGAAGGATTGGTTTGTGACAATCTAAAATAATATGGTGTTGAACATTAGAAGATATGAAGAGAGGAACAAGGTGAAATCAAAGATAGCACTATGTAATGATGATATCTGTGGGGTAACAGTAGCGATTCTGCAAGTGAAACCTTGGACAAGGTCTTCAAGTTGGAAGCCTTTGAAGTGTGAAACCTTAAGTCTTCTTTTTTCATTATGTTATTTTTTGGCTTAATTTCAGAGATGAGTACTTCATTTTTCTTTTCAGGGAAGAGTATCTCCTCCCAGAAAAGAAAAATGAAGAACTCAACTCTGAAATTAAGCCAAAAAATAACATAATGAATTTAACAGGTGAAGGTATCCCAATTGAAGTTCTAGACAGTCTTCTTCTTTCTTATCTCCACACTGGGTGAAGTAGAATGCATCTGCCTTTGTCATCGAGACTGGGAGCACTACTGGCTACCTGGCGGAGAATCGAACCCCGGTCACCCACATAACAGGCGGGAATACTGACCACTATACTACCTTAATAGTGAGGTAGCCTTAATAAAAAAGTCCGAGGAATAAGCCAAAAAAAAGGTGTTGACATGAATAAATTGAAAACTATAATAGGCAGAGGGTTGTTTCAGTCCATTCAGGTGAATGGAAAGCTAAGGATGGCTGCTGGCAGGTTAGCCAGTTCAGTGTGGTGACCCCGGCGGCTATCTAAGTGGGATACAAGGTTGCTTATCACCACTCTTGGTATCTACTTTTGGTGGGAGGCATAGGGCTACTTTCAACCTGCTTGGTTCTATGTAACTCAACAACAAGGCTTTTATTAGGGCCCATTGCCCTGTATGGATTCGCCATACAACAACAAAATAATACAGTATTTTTTTTTCTCCCTTTCCCCATGTGCACGTGAGCCTTTGTTTGAAAAGGGATTTATTTACACATCTGTTCTAAAACTTTCCTCACTACCTCTTTTGTGTATGAATCTATTTACAATTGATCTGTAGAAATTATAGAGTTCTATTGCTAATTTTTCTTTTCTGAAATAGTTCTCATCGTCTTCAGTGGTTTCTGAATCTCCAGAAGGTGTTTTTAAGAGTTTTTTTCTCTTTCTTACCTAAATATTTGCATTCTATGATATCTATGTAACTCTGCCTATCTATGTGTTCCTCAACCATCCATAGCCTGGTGGTGGTGGCTGACGGTATTCTTGGTCTTTCAGAGCTTCCTCTCTATGGTTAGTATTTTGTTTCTATTTATCCCAAGTATACATGGTACAGGCCATTATAATTATGTTGGGTAGTTAGTGACTATTTTTACTCTAATTCCACCATATACAGTAGAACCTCCACGAGAGAACACTCCCGCTTGAGGTCATCTCTCTACAAAGGAGAGTTTTCATTTACAAAATTACCATTTTTACTATTTTGACACTCTCCGGTAGGAAGACACCTCTCTACAAAGGAGAGTTTTCATTTACAAAATTACCATTTTTACTATTTTGACACTCTCCAGTAGGAAGACACCTCTCTACAAAGGAGAGTTTTCATTTACAAAATTACCATTTTTACTATTTTGACAATCTCCGGTAAGAGGACATCTCTCTACAAAGGAGAGTTTTCATTTACAAAATTACCATTTTTACTATTTTGACACTCTCCGGTAAGAGGACACTTTGGCTCTGCAATTAGGTGCTCTTTATAGGGACAGGTTCTACTGTATCTACATATGCAGAAAGCCATTCTTCTTTTGCCCTTGCAAGTGAGCCAGAGCACCCTTTTGGTTACTTGTGCAGTATTTTGATGTACAGTAGAACCCCAAGAGGGTAGAGGCAGTTGAGTACAGTAGAGTAAAACCTCCATGAGAGGACACTTCTGCTAGAGGACATCTCTCTACAGTTTTCATCATCAAAATTACCATTTTTACTATTTCACTATTCTCCAGTAAGAGGACACCTCTCTCTAAAGGACAGTTTTACTCTTCAAATAGGTGTTGTCCTTTAGAGAGAAGTTCAAACTCCGCCTTTGCCGGTCCCAAGCCTGGATGAAAAAGGAGGAGCAGTAACAAGCTCACTAAAAAACCTGGGCTCAGCTGGCCAGGCTGATAGTACCCTGTAAGGGCTCCTGATCCAGGGATACAGGATGAGCAGCGTTTGTACTCCATGTTAGGAGCCGCTGCACATGGCGTCTGTTCCTCATGTCAGAGGCGGCCATTTATTTTGGAGCTAAGTCGGCCTGCCACTGAGTAGTGCTCCCAGTCTTAATGACAAAGGCAGACGCATTCTACTTCACCCAGTATGGAGATAAGAAAGAAGAAGAAGAAGAAAAGAGAGGTTCAACTGTAGAGGGTCTACTCCTGAAATTATGCATGAATTCCAATCTTGGCCTTCCTTTTCTGGTCTCCCTTCCATATATCTCCTACAGCAATATCTTTATCAACCCAAGAGTGTGTGTGATAACATATCCGAACATAAGAGTCAATCAGTTGGCCATATCCCAAGCTCTTACTTTAACTGTGACTGCCTGACAGATCTATCAAAACTAGCCGAATGACCCGGGCAACGCCCGTGTTTTACCCGATTGAATGTTTTGATTCAAATACTATTTGTTACAATTATATATTGGCGCCTTAATTAATTGCATAAGTTAGTTAATAACTATAGCCTATGTGCTTTATCTGTCTATGTACTGTTGGCTTCCATAGGCGTCTCTTACTGGGAAAAAGAAAGAGAGGATTCCATTTGGTTATTATCTAATATATGCATTTATTTATGGAGCGACCCGCTCCAACACAATAGTTACAAAGACGAAATAGCGAGTTGGGGGGGCAAAGGTGGCGTGACCGTAGCCAACCAATAGGAGGGCGCCATTCCAAAAAAAAAAGCAAACGGTGACAGAGTTGATTGATTAGTAGATTAGGAGATGAGGAATGACGCTCGTAACTGTATATAGAATATGCAATCCCAATATTATCAGAAGCCCCAATTAACGAACATAGTAGGTAGAGTCAAACCTCCTTCAACAACTCAACCACACAACTTAAGGTAGTGGAAAGTCTTTGAGGTCGCCATTCATTCATTTTTTGAAAGATACAGAAGCCATTTTTTTTTCATACTTGGTTATCTTGTATGTCTTCAATAAAAGTCACTGTAATATCTTTCAGAGTTATTGTCTGAATCCCGATATACATGCTAAAAGGTATAACTTCCTTAAGCTTTTTTCTCCATGAGTGTACATATAAACAAGGTAATAAGACCAAATCCAAATAAATAAATAGAGTGTCACGTTTCGGTAACAGCGTTGTTACCATCTTCAGACAAAAGTACTGAATGAGAAATTTTACCACAGCATGTTTTTTCAGTACTTTTGTCTGAAGATGGTAACAACGCTGTTACTGAAACGTCACACACTATTTATTTATTTGGATTTGGTCTTATTACCTTGTTTTTATAATCTATAATCCAAATTGTGCCTTATCAAGTGTACATATAGTATGTATAAAACAGTTCACACTTGGTTATCTCGTGTGTATTCAATAAAGGTCACTCTAATATCTTTCAGAGTTATTGTCTGAATCCCGATATACATACTACAAGGTGCAAAACTTCCTTACGTTTTGTTCATGAGTGTATATCTATTAATAAGGAGTAAGAGAAAAAGAGGGAAAAGTATATCTATGATTGGATGGATCTCAACACAAAAAAAAAATAAAGAAAGAAAGGAGGGGGAAAACAGTGAGAGACAAAGGAAGAGAAGAAAGAAAAAGTTTTCACAGGGGGGGGTCAAAAACATAACAACAACTAAAAAAAAAGGAGTTTCTAACGATAGCGAGGAAGATGGAGGAAATGTGTCCAAATTAGTGTCTGAATGGGCAGCCAACCGAGAAGACTAATTTCACTTCCTTCAATAGCTGGAACACAAGCTGCCGTCTCTCCTTCCTTTCCTTGACAGCTTGTTTGTGTAAGACCTTGCAAGTGTTTGGGTAGAGAGTGTCTGGTTTACTTTAATAGCTTTTTATTTCCTCCTCTTCAACCTTCTTTTAGCTTCTACACACTAATAGTTTCACTTCATTTTTTTTTTAAATCGTTTTTCTTCAAGTCTTACAGGACAATAACACCAAATGCAGTTGAAACTTGATACAGTAAAACCTGCCTATAAAGGATACCTAATTACAGAGTCAAAGTGTTCTATAAGGAGAGGTGTCCTTCTACCGGAGAGTTGTTAAATAGTAAAAATGGTAATTTTGACAATGAAAACTGTCCTTTATAGAGAGATGTCCTCTACCCAGAGAGTTGTTAAATAGTAAAAATGGTAATTTTGACAATGAAAACTGTCCTTTATAGAGAGATGTCCTCTACCCAGAGAGTTGTTAAATAGTAAAAATGGTAATTTTGATAATGAAAACTGTCCTTTATAGAGAGATGTCCTCTACCCAGAGAGTTGTTAAATAGTAAAAATGGTAATTTTGACAATGAAAACTGTCCTTTATAGAGAGGTATCCTCTAGCCGGAGAGTTGTTAAATAGTAAAAATGGGAATTTTAACAATGAAAACAGTCCTTTATAGAGAAGTGTCCTCTTACTGGAGAGTTGTTAAATAGTAAAAATGGTAATTTTGATAATGAAAACTGTCCTTTATAGAGAGATGTCCTCTACCCAGAGAGTTGTTAAATAGTAAAAATGGTAATTTTGACAATGAAAACTGTCCTTTATAGAGAGGTATCCTCTAGCCGGAGAGTTGTTAAATAGTAAAAATGGGAATTTTAACAATGAAAACAGTCCTTTATAGAGAAGTGTCCTCTTACTGGAGAGTTGTTAAATAGTAAAAATGGTAATTTTGATAATGAAAACTGTCCTTTATAGAGAGATGTCCTCTAGCCAGAGAGTTGTTAAATAGTAAAAATGGGAATTTTAACAATGAAAACAGTCCTTTATAGAGAAGTGTCCTCTTACTGGAGAGTTGTTAAATAGTAAAAATGGTAATTTTGATAATGAAAACTGTCCTTTATAGAGAGATGTCCTCTAGCCAGAGAGTTGTTAAATAGTAAAAATGGGAATTTTAACAATGAAAACAGTCCTTTATAGAGAAGTGTCCTCTTACTGGAGAGTTGTTAAATAGTAAAAATGGTAATTTTGATAATGAAAACTGTCCTTTATAGAGAGATGTCCTCTAGCCAGAGAGTTGTTAAATAGTAAAAATGGGAATTTTAACAATGAAAACTGTCCTTTATAGAGAAGTGTCCTCTTACTGGAGAGTTGTTAAATAGTAAAAATGGTCATTTTGACAATGAAAACTGTCCTTTATAGAGAGGTATCCTCTACCCAGAGAGTTGTTAAATAGTAAAAATGGTAATTTTGACAATGAAAACTGTCCTTTATAGAGAGGTATCCTCTAGCCGAAGTGTCCTCATTGAGATTCTACTATTATCTTCTCTAGTAAAAAAAAAAGGGAAGGTATTTTTACTAAAGATAGAGGTGATATAGGGTGTTGGAGAGTCATTTGTAATGGCAGGAAGTGACCTGACACTTCTTTCTTTGTGCCAAAACTTCCT